AATCATAACCAAGAGGTAATGAGTTAAGGACCATATCAATGGCTAACTCATCATCAAATAACACATTGAGCTTATTGAGTTGCTCCACGTACCTTTTCATCTTTTGTACGTGAGGTTAAACATGTTCTCCTTCCTTGAGTTTGCACACCATGAAAGCTTTGACCACTTTAAATCGCTTTTTCCTCGCCTTCTTGTGGAATTTTCCAACAAGGTCGAGAGCCATTTCGTATGGCCAGTAGTCCTCATAGAACTTGTCCAGTTCAGGTGCCATAGTGGCCACCATGATGCAAGCGACCTTTATGGTGTCATCAGAATGTTTGTTGAAGGAGGCAATCTCCTTAGGAGTAGTGGTGGATTCATCGATTTTGACAAGAGTCTTTTCGAGGACATATTCCTTTACCTCATAACAAAAATTTATCTTAAAGTTCCTCATCTAATCCATGTAGTTGGGATCGGTGATCTTCTCTTTCGACAAAATCAAGAGTCGAGAGAAGTTTGAGTTGGAGGAGCCGGTTTGAATAGTAGCGAGATCACCGTTTCCAGACATCTATATAAAGACACATAGTTTTTAGTTACTGATATAATTCTTTAATATTTTAACCCAAAATAAATATTCAAGGCTATGATCCAAAATACAATTCACAATAAAGAAAACTGATGTCGTAATCTAATTGTGAATTTATCAAGTTAGGTAATACCAATTTACCAATTTTAATCTAGCATGAAATTCTAGATCATTTGACATTTGTTGAATCTTATTAATGACATGTTTAATCTCAGATTATGTTCTTCAAATTTGTGATTAGGATGCCGAAGATCACAAATAAGATGTGAATAACCATGCAAACCTGCTTAAAAACCTCGATGTCATTTCCCATCTCAAATTAATGTGTCAGTAAACCACACACGCTCCATTAACAATGATAATTTTCGATTTGTCCATCACTCAACTTTATAGTCCCAAATTAGTGTACCGGTTAACCATGCACACTCCACTAACGACTTATAAAGAGTGATGTGCATCTTGATGGACTAGTATACACATTATACTGTTTTGTCCTAAAGTAACTAGCGTTGGGATTTATTCAAAAGGTTCTAGTACTTTAATAACATCATACTTTTAAGAGATTATGTCATATTAAATCCGTTCGACTAATGACCCTCCACCATACAAGGGAGTGATAGGTGAGAGTGGACACCCATTAACCGACCATTTTATAGGCCACTTCCTTATACCCTATTTATAGTGTGGCTTCGTGAATGAGACGTACTAGCGATTTGACTGACTTGTCATATACATAATATATTAAATATTTAATCATATATAGTATAAGGTGTATTTTAAAACTTTTTAAAATACTAGGGTTTAAAATTAATTTTCGAATTAATCAATTAATAATTAATTAATTTTAAACTAAATGATGATTTAATCTTTTATCTTAATTAAACAATTAATTAAATAAATTTAAATCATATTATTTACCAATTAAATAATGTGGATTAAATAATTATTTACCAATTAAACAATTATTTAAATGATTCAAATTTAAAGCTAATCCCTTCCTTCTAATTTTCGAAAAAAAAAGGGTAATGGTTACCAAATTTCAATTATCCAAATTTTAAGGCATTTAAAATTGTAACTAAGGAAACTAGAAACCCTAAGGTATCCTTTTTATTTTCGAAAGCAAGGGTGGAGGCTAGGGTTTCAAGAACCCTAGCTATTTTTGAAATCTTAAGTTATTAGGGTTTAATTTCTATAAACCATAATTTTGATCGATTCAATTTAGTACAATCAAATAGAAAACCTAAGGCTTTGATAGCATGGATGGATTTTCTAGGTTATAAAGTTTTTACATGTGATGGAAAAACACTTAAACTCTCAAGTTCACATGCAACTTAGAAATGATCTATATTTTCTCTATTGATAGCAACTAATTATGAATATCAATAAATCCTAGGAGATAGGCTATGAAACCAAAATTCAAATCAAATTAGGGTTGCATACCTTTTGATTATTATTGCAAATAATCAAAGTAGAATCATTTCTTCAAAATCTTGGAAAGCTAGCACCAAATGAATGGATATCTCTAATGGCATCTACCCAAAACCCTAGTAGCAAGAAGACTTGAGGAGAGAGGAGGCTTGAGTAAATTTCAGATCTTAGAAGGCTCAAATGAGTGGAAGAACATAATGACATCTAGGGAGTTCTTTATATAGCTAAAGGAAACTTGAGACCAAAACTAGGGTTTTCAAGATAATGCCCATATTAATTAATATAATAATCAAGTTGCATTATCTCCTTATCCTAGGCCTTATGAACGAAATTTTCAGGTTATCCTAGCCAAATTTCATCCACCCCCATCCCATTGGGTTCTAGAGTTTTCATGCTTCAACTTTCAATAAATAACCAAACAACCCCTACACTTTTAATTAAATCAATTAATTTCTGATTAATTCCAAATTAATTATTATTATTATTTACTATTAATATATTAATAAACCATTTATTCCAATTTAGTAATCATATAATAAATTAGCAATTCAACCCCTCTCTCCAAAGGTCATTCTATCCAAATACTAGTTTTAAGGGCAACCTAAAAAGGACTTTACTTCTAGTTCAACAATATACCAATTTAGTTATTGGATTACACACTTTTAATCCAACAAATACAACATTAGATGTCATATCGCTAAGTTTATATTCACTGTCTAAAATTAATATTTTTAACCAATCTTTGTTTTTAATTCCGGACGACATACAACTGCCAATGAATGAACATTCGTTGTTTAAAAAAAACCACCACCTTCAATAATGACTATTCTTTAATCTTGTGTATTATCATCGCAAAACATACAAACGATGCATATTGTCTTCATTGAAATGTGTAAAGAATTTCATCTGTATCCTTATAAACTTACATAATTACATCTATATCATTGTAAACTTCAAATTACATATATATCCTTATAAAACCTATAAACTCAAATATATACCCAAATACATACAATTAACATATTTAAAAAACCAAAAACATTATATTTAAGCTATATTATAACTAAATTATTAAAATATTCATTTTTAATCCTCCTATTATCGATCTCCTTATTTACGATATAGTTATTCACGACTTGATTTTTTGTTGCTACATATTTTGCATAATCGATTAGCAAAATCCGGTGAATGTATATCCCTAATTGATTGCTAAACAACAGTTTCCATCTCTTATAACCGATTTATAAGACATGTAATTATTCTCTTATAAACAATTTTGTTTTTCCTCTGGTTATTCAAATAAAATCACGAATAAATGATTTCAATGTAAGTGTCAATATTATGTAAGGATTTATGAAGTAAATAGATTCAAAATAACAATGTGAGAGAAAGAAAATAAGTTTGCTTTTTAAAATTAACTAACGAAAGTTTTAAATTCATGTTGAAACATTGATCACCTTGAATGTATACTGACAAATATAAAAATAAACACGTAAACAATTTTTTTTTAACAAACGAAAGTTACTAAATAAAATCAAATTATATATACTAAAGAGGATAAACATGAAAGTTTAAAAAATGAAGGGTGAAAGTAATAACTAAAATAATATCTCTTGATTAATAATTTATTAATAATTTTAAATTTTTATTATGAAATTTTAATTAATTTTGTAACTGTTGTTCCCACGAATTATAAACTAATATATTAATAAACCAACTAATATGAGATTACATTTAATATGTGAAATTTGAATAAAAATAAAAAAATATATAAAAATGACAGGTGGAATAAAGATAATCTAAAATTTTTTGAAAATGACGTGTCAAATGATAAATTGGTATTTAGCAAAAATAATTTTTATTTATTAAGTTAGATTTAACTTATTTTTTTATAAAGTTTTTGTAACCGGCTACGTACCTTAAGTAATAAGTTAATAGAGTAATATAATTATCAATTTGTATATATATTTAGTCTTTAATGTTTTTGTGTTGCAAAATAAGATGTTTTTGTATACATTTATTTCTTATGACTGATTTCTTAAGGTTTCGCTTACGACATTTTATCTGGGTTAATAATTAATGAGATGTTTTCATATTTTATAAAAACTTATAATTAAAATATATCTTATAAATACAATAAAAACGTAAATACTTGTGAAAGATGTCAATAAAAACGTATAACTAAAATATATCCTATAAATACGATAAAAACGTAAATAATTGTTTTAAATTTTCACCACGTTGAAATAATTATCTAGAAACTTGATGTGAATCTTACGTGGTCACATATTAATTCCTGCCATTCATTTTATATTCATTGTCTATTTCGATTAAAATATCAAAAAGATTTTTTTTTTTAACTTTTTAAATAATTTAATATCAATAATTAGGAGACAAGATCAGTAAGTCACGTGCTATTAATATAAAAAAAATAATAATAAAACCAGTGCTAAGTATATAAAAATTAATTTGTATTTTGGGTAAAAGTTTCTCACTCTCAACTTCAAAATCTAAACAAAACGGATTTAAGGCCAAAATCAACTTATCGTCAAGTATAAAAAAAGAAATTGAATTCGCTATTAGATATATCAGAAATAGATTAGAAAAATTATTGCGTTCACGTTCATATCAGTTTAGGGCTTTTACCGTTTTAGGATTACTTATTTAAATAACTTATATTTAAAAAAAAAATAGAGTAAATTACACGAATCGTTTTTGGTCCAAGTGGCAAATTGCATGTTCAGTCTCTATTTTGAAAATTAACTCGGACGATCCCTCATGTATTTAAATACTACCCACTCAGTCCCTATTGCCGTTAGACGTTAGTTTTCTCCGTTTGGATGTTCCAACTGCCTTGCATGCAGGGGTATTTCCATCATTTCATGTTGTGTGTATATTATCAATTGCATATGACGCCATCTCCAGTTCACCCAAACCTTGCATACACAATCCCTGATCAAAACCTTTCTCGTCTCACAAAAACCCTAGTTTTTCATCAAGAGTGAAGATGAGTGGGTGGCGAATACGACTACAGATGGATGGAATCGATTTGGAAGCAAGTTACGGTAAGGAAAGCCAACCATTTTATGCTCTGTTCTTGATCATTTTGTCTCTGATTTTGAAAATATTTTTGTTTTGTTTCTTGTGAAGGTGGAAATCCAACTATTTTTAGTATATGCTTGCATTATGGAGGAGAGTTTACCAAATTTCTTGGGAGAAAATACATCAAGGGACAACCCAAATTTGTGGACTTGATCGACAATGATTTGTTCTCTGTTCACGACATTGATGATATGATGGAGGAGTTGGGTTGCGTTGAAGAAGGTAAGGTTATGTATTATCAATTTAAACGACCGTTAGGGGATTTAGATTTTAGGTTCTTTGCATTGGGTAATGATCAAGATGTCAACAACTTAAGGTCCTACGTTTCTTCACATAAGCTTATAGAAATGTATACATAATTTTGGCTTACCAACTTGCATACATATGCTATGTCTCCTAACCCTTCAAACTCAAGATTGAAGAGATTGTTGAACCCTCTTCTTCTTCTAGAAGGTAGTGTCTCGAATTGATTGACACAACCACAGTAGGACCCCCCTGTTTTAGAACCAAGCATGCGAACCCCTACAATGGAACCTAACATGGAATCCCCTAGTCATATTGATGTTGCACATGTTTCACCCCTAGAATAGAATCCCCTATTGAAGTTGAATCTGTGAAAGAACCAAACATGGAACCCCCTATTATGGAACCCTTTAGTGAAGCCCTAGGTGGATCTAGTGATGTTGAGGGTAGTGGAGATTCAAGTGATAGTGATGATAGTGATTTCATTGTGGCTGAGGATAACTTGTTGGATGATCCTGAGGTGGACATGCATGATTACTACCTCAACATTGATGATAATTTAAAGTGGGTTGTTAATGCCCCTATTAAAATAGAGAATGTAGTAATGTCTGATGAGGAGATGGAAGTGATCAACACTGATGTTCTACAATCTGATTCATCATCTGATGAAGGGCAAATGAGTAAAAGAAGAAATAAAATTCGGGTTGCTGAAAGGGCACAGATAAATGATGCAACTCAAGTGAGTGACCCTTTCTACATACTTCAAACATTCTCAAGATCTAAGGAACCAAAAGACATAATTTACCTGCATGCAATAGAGATAAGAAGAGAATTAGATATTGTCAAGAATGATAAAAATAAGGTCAGGGTAGTATGTAAAGGAACAATACCTGATATGGGGATACTTGAGACTTCTGGGAAAGGTGGACCAAGTAAAACTAGTGGGAAAGGTAGGCCAAGTCAAAGGAACATAAATGGTGGACCCAGTCAAATGGGAGAAAAAGGAGGACCAAGTAAAAAAGAAAAGTGCAGTGAAAGTAGATGAAAACAATAAGTGCCCTTGGAAACTTTTAGTAAGTAAATGGAAAAAGCATGATGATTGGACTGTGAAAACGTATGAAAAGGAGCATAAATGTCTCCAAACAAGAAAAATCAAAGCTTGTAATTACAAGTTTCTTTCCAAACAAATTCTTGACCAATTGGAGTCTAACCCAGAAATACCAATAAGGGCTTTAAAGGAGCAGCTAGAGAGGAAATATCAAATCCAGATATCGGACATGAAAGTGTTTAGGGCAAAAGCAAAAGCCGTATAAAATATTAGGGGTGATTTTGGGGGTCAATATTCTATATTGAAGGACTATCTACTGGAGGTTCAAAGTTGAAACCCAAACACAACAGTTAAGCTTCAAATGGATAATTATTCCAACCCTGCATCATATACTAGGATTTTTAGACATATATATATATATATATATATATATATATATATATATATATATATATATATATATATATATATATAGGGCTAGGTTATAACGTAGATGATAAGTATTGTGTGGATGTAGGGATTAATGTGTACCAAGAGTTTAAAATACATATTCTGGTTGAATACAAATTCTAACAGAATACATATTCTGATTGAATGAACATTTTGAAAAATAACAAAATTTTGAACCATGACTTGAAGAATAACAACATTCATTTTGACAGATAACAATACACGTTCTTTAATGACTTACAACAAACATGAAAAATATAAATATATTCTTAAAGAATAAAACTAAATTTAATTCATTCTCTAACTAACGTCACCCATTCTTAGGAAAATGATATATGCAATTCTTGAAAGTACAAAAACTGATATAAAATTTAAGAATGCATTCTGCAGATTTCTCCTTGAAGAAAGAATGGTGTTGTATTTGTAAGGTGGACCCTTTTATTCTGAAAGAATGTTGTTGTTTTTGTAAGGTGGATCATTCTATTCCGAAAGAATGATGTTGCTTTTGTAAGGTGGACCAATTCTCTTTACAAGAGCTTATAACAACAATGGTGAATAAGCCAATAAGAAACTATTTAAGGATATTACAATCAAAACATACACGAAAAAAAGCCTGAAACAGAAACACAAACAGGTGGTGTGAAAACACAGTGACACACCCATTTGATATTTAAGTTATTCTTTAAAAATTAAACCTAAATCAAAACTTAAAAACATCTAAACACACATATCTTAGTTAAAAAATAGAAAACACTGTAAGTTGATTTGTAGGTCCTTCCAATGCCATAGTCTTTAACTTTGCAAATATCTATATCTTATTTTTCAAATAAAATAAAGAAAACCACTGAAACATAATGGGTGATAAAAATAACCAGTAAAATAAAATAGCCATTGGATTTACCTAACATGAACTTTTTGTTTAGCAAAACGGAAAACACATTATCGATGCATATTTAAAGTGATGGAGGCATGAGTGGAAATTAAAATCGATGGGAGGGTGAAAATTAAAATTGCTAATATGATTAGTCGAAGGATCAAAGGATCTGCACAATTCAATTTATGACGATGGAAATTACTTACTTGATTGAATTCGTAAATCTTTGAATTGAATTCAGACGTCAAGAACCTTGAATTGAAATCCCTAAGAAATCGTCTTAGATTCAGCCTCGATTCAGACTTTCAAGATTGTCACTGTAATATTTCTTTTCCAAGGTTACCTCCTGTAGCGAACCCCATGAACATATTACCGTATTGGTCAAAACTTATTTAGATAGCCTGCAATAGGAAGGATGGTTTCAAATAATACGGACGAAGCTCTGATGACGTTGGTCGATCGAAGCGGGAGGGCTACAGTCGAAGGTTTGATAGGGTTTAAAATAGAGTAATTTGCCTAAATTAAAGGGTAGATGATTTAATTAAATATTTATTAAAATTTAATAAAAATTGGCCCATATTAATCCCTACATCCACACAATATATGTTTATCAACATTTGAACCTACCTACCTATATATATATGTATGTGTATATATATATATATATATATATATATATATATATATATATATCTTGGGCCACATAAATAAGGATTTGCAGCAGGGAAAAGGGACTTTCTTGGACTGGATGGTGTATTCTTGAAGGGTCCGTACCATGGTTTGATTCTAACTGCAGTGGTAAGTAATTTTATAAATGGATTAACTACTTAATCTTACATATGACTTATAGATGTTAACCTAATTTGTTCTTACTGTTATAGGGATTAGATGGAAACAACTGTACTTACCTAGTGGCATATGGTGTTGTAGAGTCTGAGAACTACAACTCATGGACATGATTTCTAAAAAATCTTGGTGATGATTTGGATTTGACTACAATCCAAACTTCACATTTATAACTGATAGGCAGAAGGTAATAGTGTACACAGTTTAGCTACTTAACCTTTATATTATTTGTACAAATTATATTAATATTTACTGTGTTTATGTTGTAGGATGTTTTTGTTGGATTAGGTGTCTAAGCTCATAACTATATTGTATGTACTTGACCCGATTATGAGCATGGTCCTTTTGGGTTGCCTTCACCATAGCAAGTGATAGGATGAATTAAGGAGAAAGATGATTAATTATGATTTATTAATATATTATGAGATTAATATTTTAAAAGAGAAAGCATATTGTTTAATTAATATTAGTCAATAATTAATTAAGAATTAATTTTGTGGCTAAAACAGATAAAATAAATAAAGGGGACTGATATTGTAATTATAAGATAGTTGCATAAATGGGCTAATGGACTCCATAGAAGTTGGAGTGGATGAAATCTATGGGGAAAACCATAAGAATTCGTCCAAGGCCTCTAAGGAGAGAGTATATGGGCTGCTTAGAGCTTAAGCACTCAAATTAGGTTTTCCTTGTTTGATAACCCTAATAGCCTAACTTTATAAGGAATCCATAAGGCCCCAAAAACGTGGCTAAGTGATCCCCAAGGGTTCTTGGACGTTTTGTGCCTTCTCCTACTTTTCTTTGTTCATCTTGTTGCTCATGGTGTTTGTGATTCCATTAGAGGTGCAACATTTGAGGCACTAAGCTTTCAGAAGTCAAGATTAAGAAGGTTTATGATTGTTATTGCTACATAACAATCAAGGTAAGATCTAAACCGTAATTCATATGTTAACTCGAGTATTGTATGCCAGATCTAGGGTTTATGAGCTTTGGATGATTATTGCATGTTCATTATACAAACTAGATCCACAGCTTTAGGGTTTTCCTGTCACCATAGGATTGATGTTCTACTCAAAACCCATTAGTGGTATCAGAGCCTAGGCTATTTGTTTAATGTATTTGATGCTTTACATGAACGTTCAAGCTGAAAATCACGAAAAACTAAGTTTTGGAGGTTGGACTCGCCGAGTCCACTGGTGAACTTGTTGAGTTCATGCCTACTCGACGAGTTCAGTGTTGACTCGACGAGTCAGAGGGTCTGGCAGAGGTTTTTTTCGGTATTTTGACCTGTTTTTTGCTTAGATAATTACCAAAAACATTTTTTATTGATAAAATCCGAATTTTATTGATATTATGTGATTATCCTTGCCAAAATAGAATATAATTGTCATTTAATTGGATAATCATTGCCTTATATGATAAACTTGATTTATTTGAGTCATTTGATTTGAATTATATTGCAAGAAATTGAATTAGCTCAAATTTAGATAATCACCAATTATTTGATTAATTGAATTATTTGTAATTTGATCTAGTATGTTTTGAAAAGTTTCAAAACTTGCCATCAAGTTTTGGAATTTAAATTTTTGAGTAAAAGTTTAATTTTGAAATTTTAAATTCTAAAACCCTAGTTTTTAAAAAGTTCAAATTACATCCTTATGGTTTTATTAAGTTAATTAAATGTATAATTAAAAGCGAGTTAATAAATCCATAATGATATGGTTAATATTGAATTAAATTAGAAGCTATAATTCATTACAGTAGACTACCTAGTATTTTAAAAGTGTAAAGTTGTAACGCCCGTAGATCCGGACTAGTCAATTTAGAGATAATAGGGGTCGAAAACGAATTTTCGACAAAAGATTATTTAGAATAAATAATTTGAACCAAGTTGTAGAATGTCTCAAGGGTTCTTTACATATAAAGAATGCCGAAATCCAAGTTATAACGAAGAAGTTATGGCCTGTCGAAGTTTTACGGCAAAACCGGCACGACAATGGGAAACGTAAGATGTTACAATTCTCCCCCCACTTGAATTAGACTTAGCACTCGAAGTCGTGATCCAGAAACAACTCCGGATATTGCTCTTGCATCTTAGACTCTGGCTCCCAAGTCAACTCGGACCCCTTCCGATGTTGCCACTGGATGTAGACAAGGGGCACCTCTTTGTTGCTCAGAACCTTCACTTTCCGATCCAGTATCGCTATCGGCCTCTCAATATAATTCAGGCTCGCATCCCACCTGAATGTCCTCTAATGGCACTACTGTCGTCTCATCGGCTACACACTTCCTCAACTGAGACACGTGGAATGTGTTATGAATCTGACTCAACTCTGCAGGTAGCTCCAACCGGTATGCTACCTTACCCACTCTGGCGGTCACTCTGAAAGGAACGATGTATTTGGGCCCCAAATTGCTTTTTTTACTGAAACGAATCACTCCTTTATAGGGGGGTACCTTCAGGAGGACAAAATCTCCCACCTAGAACTCTAGCTCAGATTGTCGCCTATCTGCGTAACTCTTCTGGAAACTCTGGGCTGTCAGTAGCCTCTGCCTGACTTGCTGAATCTGCTCGGTTGTCTTGAGCACCATCTCAGTGCCACCAATCATGTAACGACCCAAAATCAGGGGTAAATTTTCATTTTTAATATAACTCAAACATAGATATCATTTATTCCAATCATTCCAAAACATTGATAATTAAAAACGTTTATTAGAGTTCATCCCAAAATCATTCTTTGCGGAAAACATGGGTGTGTGCGCTGCGATTAAGCTGAGCCCCTCCTTTCCAAAACAAAGATACCTGAAACCATTAAAAAAACTGTAA